AAAAAAAAAAAAAAAAAAGTATATGGAATCATGGCTTTCCTGACCTGAGCGTTACTTAGAATTATTGAGTCTGACTCTCAGATTTAGAGGATAATCTACATCAGTGATCTTTACATGGTTGGGCAACTGAAACTCGTGGGGTTCGTTTTTCTAATATCAGTAAAGTATGTATTGCTTGTAGAGCTTCAGATCCAGGAAAGCAGATGTGAAACCTTGGTTGTCTGTATTTCTAAGACTCCCTGGAAAATTCTGCAGTACAGCTAGTTTGGAAAGTACTAGATTCAATTCTCCAGATTTCTAAAAACCCTCAAGGATGAATATTATGACTTATCTATGACTCATACTCAAAATACAAAAAAAAAAAACCCACATATTTTGAGATAACTTGTAATTAATTTAAATGCAGTAAGTACACAGTTAATGATAAAAATAAGACAAATCAGTAAGAAGGATTTTGCCCAATTTCTGTGTTTTCAAAGACACCGTTTACTATGTAATTCTAATTTTCTCTGTTGTAATGATTCCGTTTTTTTTTTAAAGATTTTATTTATTTATTTGAGAGAGAGAATGAGAGAGAGAGAGAGAGCACATGAGGGGGGTGGTCAGAGGGAGAAGCAGACTCCCTGCTGAGCAGGGGGCCCAATGTGGGACTCGATCCCGGGACTCCAGGATCATGACCTGAGCTGAAGGCAGTCGCTCAACCAACTGAGCCACCCAGGCGCCCAAGTAATGATTCCGTTTTATGTCCAGGTATCCACTAACAGTTTTATCCACCAGTTTATTAAGGCAGTCTTCTGTCTTTATCGCCAAGGGAAATTTAACCCATATTTGCAGAAGTTCAAAATAATTTGAAGTTTTCAACTATATTTCTAATACCTGAAACTTAAGTGTTTTAAGTATATTATTATATTAACTATTTAAATATATTCATAGCATTAAATTTTAAAAAATCAATTATAAACTGGTCAAATAGCTATGTTTACATTTAATAACTAGTTAATTCCACTTTAGAGTGAATATAAATGGGGCACCTGGGTGGCTCAGTCAGTTAAGTGTCTGCCTTCGGCTCAGGTTATGATCCCAGGGTCCTGGGAACAAGTCCCACGCTGGGCTGCCTGCTCAGGGGGGAGTCTGCTCCTCCCTCTGCCCCTCACTCTGTATTCTCCTCGCCCCCAAATAAATAAAATCTTTAAAAAATAAAGTGCATACAGATACATTTTTATTTAAAAAGTAAACATAAATCTAAAGCTTTTTAAGCTAAAGTTATGTCATATCATGAGTCTGAAGTTCATTTTCATTTCTTCAGCAGTTTCTTAACCTATGCATTGCATAATGCCCATGGAAGTAACTGCTTTGTGTAAATCCTCATACCATACGGGGAGTTACCTGAATGACACTGTCGCCGGGGCTCATGTCTGTATACAGATAGACATTGTAGGATATTTCAGGGAAGGTTGGAGTGTTATCATTTGCATCCATCACCCGAACATTGACAATAACTGGCTCACTCTCTTGCACACCATCGAATGCCGTTATCTTTGGGGATAGAAAAATACATGTAACAGAAAAGTCATGCAAACATAAGCAGTACAGAATTCACTCTCATGATTTAAGATGTTTCTTATATATAATTTCAGTTTTAAATGGGTGCCAAAATGTTTTGTTGATAAAAGGAAATAAACCTGCAATAGTACATATAAGCAAAGTATTTTAATGTGCTAAGAAGCAATTACAGAGAATTCTGTTTTATTTTTAATATATTTCAATTCCAAGCACATTTTAAATAAGCAGACATGTAAAATGTCTTAGAGGCTTGGAGTGAGCCAGTAACATTGCTGATTCTTAGGAGTTAACTACTACTTAATTTTTTTTTAAAAATAGGAAGTTATTCTTCACTTTTCCATATTTTGTATACAATGCCATAGATGCTTTTATAGCCAACATACTTAGATCACACAAGAAAGTAGGTGCCCTAGAGATGTGTTGTCTTTTTCTGGTAATTCACAAAATGACAATTTTTAAAGGACTTATTGCCATTAGTTAATAATGATATCTTAATTACACCATTAACATTTTAGGAAGGCCTGGCAAACAAAATCAGCATTATAACACTGCCATCTTTGTTCTGAATGACGTCCGAAATCCACTTTGTATCTAAGTTCTAACTGTCAGGTTTCCTGGAATCTCTGGCTCTGCTGCATTAGGTTCTCCAGAAGGAAATCCTATATAAGTCCCACAATCTCTACTTTTCTATCAGCTCATTTTCCACTTATATCCGAATAAAATCTAGCTCAGAAATTTGGATAATACAGCTTTCTTTTCATCTGTATTCACTTCTCAACTGCACTAGTCATATATACATATATATAAATATATATATATTTCTATTTTATGATAACTATTTGAAATTACAGTTTAATAACCTCCCCTTACCTTTTTTCTTTTTTCTTGATTAAACTATACTAGGATCTCTCCATCAGATAATTGTTTCAGTGTGTGTGTGTGGGGGGGCGCTCTCCTGTGTGTTATAAGCTGCTTAGCAGCATCCTTGTTGTCTCCCTCCCTGATGTGAATAGCATCCCTCACAGTAGTGATGGTCAATGTGTCTGCAGATATTGCCAAATGTGTCCAGGGGATGGGCTTGGGGGGGCGCAGGGATCATCCCAGTGGAGAACCCCTGGCCTAACCTTATGGCAAAATTTAAAATATAATAACAAAAAAAACCAACCCATAAAATAAGTTAAAATAAACTATGGGTTAGGAAATAATTCTTTACTTGTGGATTCTGCTGATAACATCTCAAATTTAAGTCAATTATGAGTGTATGGTGAAAAATGAGACCCCTATTTTCCTGTTTCCATCTTGAACATTATTTTTCCTCTGTTGGAAAGAATGTTAACACAGCTGCACAAACTTATAAAACAGAAAAAGGAGAAATACACGTGAAGAATTTTATTATTGATATTCGCAATTCTAAATTCCTTGAAAATATTGTATTTTTTCCTCCTAAATCATTGACTTCTTCGGTTTTAAACAGATATCTCTTTCTGTTACACACACACACACACACACATGTGTATACAAAATCTTTTTACCGAAAAAGTGTAAGTCTGCTGTTCTTCCCTGTCCACTGGCTGAAGTAAGGTGAGGTAGCGAGTAATGCCAGTTTGTGTAACAGTGAAGACTGAGGTGTAATCATTCAGGAAAAGGTGAAGCTCTGGGTCTTTCATCTTTGAAAAAAAGAATGCCATTATTTAAAATGGTGAATACATAATGCAGCTATTAGTTTATTAACTGGAGATTCATTTTGCAAATCTATCACAAAACTATGCATGACTGTAGTAAGACTTTCCAAAGACAAGATAGGTTTCACTAGACATTCACTCATCACTGAGCTGGATTATGCAAAGACAATGACCCCTTTTGTGGAAAACACCATAGCTGAATGAGTACAAGTACAATTAATGTCAGTAAAAGGAAAAGAATAGCATAGATAACAATACAATTGAATATATTCTTTTTGGTTACTCAATATCAATATTCTCCAGAACTTCGTTGGGCTTGAGAAATAAGAAATAAATGCAAGAAAAGAAAATTGGAGGCCAAAATTTTAGCTGTAGGATTGTACAACTACTTCATTTGTAGTAATAAACTGTACATATGCCTATTATTATTCTGTTCTCACATTTAATGCAAAATAGAAATAAAATTGGTTATGTATAATTCATTACCTATAAATATCATGCTTGCTTTTTCTTATTTTAATGCTGCAAAGGCTCTCCAAAGGGAAACATAATGTTTATTTTAATTTAAAAATTTCAGATGATTACATTGAAGGTATATGAATTGGCTGCATTGTGTCTGATAAGAGTCCAGAAAGATGACATATACATAAAGAAGGGATTGCAAAAGTTCAAAACAGAGATAATTATGCATTGGCAACCCTTCACAGTTTCACTGCCCTCCTGAAAGATAAGATTAATCTCTGCATGTTGGAGAAAGAACAAGGATGTAAGTGGGGAGGCATGGACTGATGTCTGGTGGTGGAGTAAGAAGGCAGGTGGAGCAGGGAAAAGATTAGTGAGAGACAGGACCACAGACAAGGATTTACGCAAACAACAGCAACAGACATGACACAGGGAGGTGAGGTGTTTCTGTAGGTTTTGACAACTATAAAAATATTATGCACTAAGGGGAGTGGGGGATACAGGCTTCCAGTTATGGAATGAGTAAGTCACGGGGATGAAAGGCACAGCACAGGGAATAGCGTCCCTGGTCCTGTAAGAGCATCATGTGGTGACAGATGGGAGCCATGCGGGTGCTGAGCTTGGCGTACAGAGAAGTCGCATTGCTATGGCGTCCACCTGAAACTCATGTCACAGCACGTGTCAACTAGACTCAAATGAAAAATACACATTATGCATAGCATAGTGTGATGTGTAACTTAATATCATAGATTACTTCCCAAAGTCTGAATTCAGGGGCTGAGGGCAGAGTATAGAGTTTGGAATTGTTAAAGACATGTTCATTTGATTAAAAAATTAGAACTCAACTTTTTTTTTAAAGATTTTATTTATTTGACAGAGAGAGAGAGACAGCGAGAGAGGGAACGCAAGCAGGGGGAGTGGGAGAGGGAGAAGCAGGCTTCCCACAGAGCAGGGAGCCTGATGCGGGGCTCGATCCCAGGACCCTGGGATCATGACCTGAGCAGAAGGCAGACGCTTAACTTACTGAGCCACCCAGGCACCACTAGAATTCACCTTTTACAAATTTCTATGTGAAAGTGAGAAAGTTGAAATGTTTCCTACTATATTAAAAGGTACACCTTATTTGATCCACAGATACTGTAATCTCTATACCTTTTTAAAGATTCAATATGTGTATATTTCAAATAACTCTGAAATGAATGGTTTCATTTGAACCTAACACAAGTTCTCTATTTGTAGTATCTCATTAGGAGATAGTATTTAGCTATACTATTGTAGCTTCTACGTCCATGATTGTGATATAAGTCCAGTATGCTACATTTATTGATCCTGGAACAAGAAAAAAATAATACTATAGATAATCATTTCCAATGGCCTCTTTATTATGAAATAAAGTTGTTAAGAGCTGTGAAAGTCAGAGGCTTTCCATTCATACTTTTTCTTTTTTAATTTTTTATTTTAATTCCAGTATAGTTAACATGCAGTATTATATTTCAGGTGTACAATATAGTGATTCAGCAATTCTTTTTTAAAAATTTTTAAATTATTTTTATTTTTTAATTTATTTTATTAACATATAATGTATTATTTATTTCATGGGTACAGGTCACAGATACTCTCAAACAGGAACCTCAGGCTCCATGTCAGTGTTGTGACCTCCATTGCTCAGCATGGCTAGCAGGGAGGGTGTTTGGATAATCAAGTATGTTAGTTAATAAAAAGTTAAATTATTTATTTTAAAAAGTAGACTATAAACTGCATGTAAACTCAACATATCTTGAACCATATTTTGAGGTTGCTTCTTATTGCGTACTTTAAGGTCAACTGCAATAAAATCCAATGGTTACTTTTTTTTTTTTTTTTTCCCAATGGTTACTTTTAAATGAGCAGAAAAGTTAGAATGCAGTTTCAATTAACAACAACAACAAAAACTAAGTATGTATGAGTGCCTGTCATTTTTTAGTGTTTATCCTTGATTTTACCAACCAAGGTAAGATCACTAGGCTGTTAAATTTATATATTTCTTCCTGTTCTCTGAGTTTACCCACAATGGTGCCAAAGAACACCTTCCTTCACTCAGACCTGCAACAGCCAGTAATCCAAGCTGAGCAAGCTGAACAAGCTCTGGTATGGGACTTGACATAGCAAATATTTTCTTCCTTCCCTTTATTCAAGTCCTTCAGTCATTCTTTACTTGCTTATAACTGATATTCTCTCTCAATTTCTTTTCTTCCTTTCAACCACACCCTCTGTTAGTAAGTTTGTTAGATATATTCATTTGCATTCTCACCACATGTTGTAGGCGTGGTTTTTTTTTTTTTTTAATGCCAGGTATTGTGATGGTGCAAGACTACAGTGGATGTTGGGTTGTGAGCCAGCTTGTGCATATGTGCGACTGCACAATATGCTTGTGTTACAAACAACACTGTCCCTTTTCCCAGTTTATGGAAGCCGCAAGATTTTCACTGTCCAATGCTTCCCATTTGAAGATGATATACACACCAGGACTTCATAAACAGACTCTCATATTTTATAACCAGAAACATTAAAGACCTTTTGATAATTGTCTTCACTTCAAGTCCTGTTGTAATAACTAAAGCCTAAAATAACACTTCCCAGACATGCAGATTATTTTTTTGTAAAAAGATAACATAACACAGAAAGCTATGATTGTCCATGGCATCTTACAGTTCATTCTAATCTGTCCTGCTCAGTTAATCTCTGATTAAATTTTAACTTGTGAATTTTATGAACATTTCACATAGTAACTTTTTAAAATCTACATATTGGATACATAGATACCATTGGTGATTATCTGGATATTTCTTTGAGGACAAGAATTTAAGAATACAGATTTGGAAATATTCAGCCAGTTATTACTCAAAGCTTAATACTTGGATTTATTTTTAAGGATAATACTAGTTTCAGGTGTGGTATATTATGAGTATAAATAGACAGATAATGCTCTGGCTTATTATTCTGACAGGGACAATAGATTTCATGTAGTCCTTGTGTCTATAAATTTGTTTAAAATACATATTAGGGCCCTGGGATCGCGGCCTGAGCCGAAGGCAGATGCTTGGCGACTGAGCCACCCAGGTGCCCCCACATTTTTAATTAAATTTAAAATTTCCCCAAATTTTATGGCTTTTTAAAAATGTAGCACATAGGGGATCCTGGGTGGCTCAGTTGGTAGGCATCTGCTTTTGGCTCAGGTCGTGAACTCGGGGTCCTGGGATCGAGTCCCGCATCAGGCTCCCTGCTC